TTTTTATTAATGTTCGTCGTTTATATTTGTGAACATGTTAAATGAACATAAAGTAACGAAGAAAAACAAATATATATGAACATAAACAAATATATAGTATAGTAATTAATCAAATACAATTGAACATATATGGATGTAAAATGAACTTAAATGAACGGATATAAATAAACATTCACAAACATAAGTGAATGAACAATACTATTGTTCATGTTCGTTCGTTTAACTAAACGAACAATAATTTGTGTTAATGTTCGTTCATTTATTAAATAAACAAATATAAATGAACTTCTTATCGACCAGTTTACGAACAGTTCGCTGAACGTTCGGTTTGTTTTCAACTAATGTAACCATTTCCTTAGGTGAATGCTATGAGTTTTTTTTTTTTTTTTTTTTTTTTTTTTTTTTTTTTTTTTTTTTCCTTTTCTGTGACATGTCATGGTAACACATAACTCAAAACATAAGATTATTCCAAACATAGACCAGACTGAGGTTCTGAAACAATTTTAAATCTTGAACATTTTATAAATATATTTTGATATGTATTACCACCAAAAATTGGAGATGATATTCTTTCTGTTTGTTTTAAACAAAAATCATATATCACATCCAAATATAAAAATTTATCAAAAACACCCTAAACAAGAAGACAAATACGAGAATTATTAGCCAAAACCTAAAAAAATTACCCCAAAAGAAAGAAATATGAGAGTTTTTTTGGAAAAAAAATTAAGTTTATTATTATTATTATTATTATTACCAGAAGACTATTATTATTATTAACATGCTAAAACAGCTGAACCAAAATAAATAAAATACTGTAAAGGCTTTTTTTGAAATAAAAAGTATTTAAACAGAGAAATCAAAATATATAATTTTATTTCATTTAATAGTATTAAACCTATTATATATAAGTTAACAGTTTAAAATGATACATATTACATCATAGACATTCATGGTTAGCGAAAATACCCAATAGCCTGATTTCAGACGTCGGTCCGATTAAGTGCCGGTGAATATGTAATCAATAGTTCGAATTGCTGATGTTAAATCGTTGGTGACGTCGTCTCAATTTTTTTTTTTTTTTTTTTTTTTTTTTGGGTTTTCCTTTTCCCCCAGTTTAAGTATTATGTCTTCTTAGATTAAGGATTCAACTTCTTGGTGCACCTGAACAGACCTGAATGTAGTTTATTTAAAGATTAAAGTTTAATTTTGATTTACTTTGTTGATATAATCTGTTACATACTTAGGTATTTAAGTTTCTTGATTCCGTTTCATCAATTTATGCATTGATGAAATACTAGTAGGCATGGAGTCACGGGTCAAGGACGTTTTATCATCTTTAGAAACTAGTACCGATGATGTTCGGATCATCGGTATCAAGGGGATGGGAGGTGGAGGGAAGACAACTTTAGCCAGAGCTATTTTCCATTAAATATCCTTTCAGTTCGAAGGTAAAAGCTTCGTTGAGAATGTGAGTAAAGTTTCAAATGCTTCTTTGTGCGGAATCAAGTCCTTTCAAGTGTCTTAAATGATCAAGGCATCATCATAAGTAGTGTTTATGGTGAGAAAAACATGATGAAGAGGATGATTTGTGGTAGAAAGGTTCTTGTTGTTTTAGATGATGTGGATCATATAGACCAACTTGAGGCGTTACCCTATGACTCTAGTTGGTTTAAGCCGGGCAGTAGGATTATCATGACAAAAAGGGATGAGCAAGTGCTTGTAGCACACGGTGTGAATTTGGTTCAAAATGTCCATATGCTATCGAATAATGAAGGAATTTGCCTCTTCAGTAAGTATGAATTTGAGAGAGAGATTCCAATTAAAGGGTATGAAGAGCTATCACAACAAGTTGTATGTTATGCTGCTGGTCTTCAATTCATCATCAGAGTTTTGGGTTCTTTGCTGTGTGGTAAGAATGAACTTGAATGGATAGATGCCCTGGAAACACTAAAAACAATTCTGTTAACAGAAACTCTGAAAAAAATTTGGAATTAAGCTATATTGGTCTGGAGGAGGATTACAAGGAAATATTCCTAGATGTTGCATGCATACTTAAAGGTTGGCTGAAATACTTGGCAATCAAAGCACTTCAAAGCTATGGATTTCATGCTAGAGATGTTTTAAGAGTTCTTGAGCAAAAATCTCTCATAACTATTTCACATGGTGGGTACTTAGGCATGCATAACCATATTGAAGAAATGAGAAGGAATATTGTTTCGTCGTTTGCACCCCGATAAGTCTAGCAAACATAGTTGATTATGGATTGAAGATATACTGGTTAATGACTTGGTAAGGATCAAGTTTATTTGTAAATTGAAGAAACTAACACATTTTGCATTTGTTGCGACTCACAGTTAATGGTGACTACTTTTGGATTACAGGGCACTGAAGCAACAAGATGTATACAATTCTCCATGTGGGGACTCAATTCGGAAATTGTTATGAAAGCCTTAGTAAAATGAAAGAACTTAGATTTCTTGACGTGTCTTTGAAATTTATTGATCGAAATAAAAGTGATTGTTGTTGTTGGAATTGGAAATTGTATAAAGTTTGCCCGTACTTGCCGAATGCTTTATGATATTTACGTTGGAATTATTACCCTTTTAGGTCTTTACCCAAAACATTTCAAGCAAATAATATTTTCACACTTGAGATAGTTAACATTGATATCGTACAACTTTAGGAAGGGGGAGAAAGAAAGGTAGAATTATGGTTGATATTGATTATTTACATGATTCATTATAATGCTATACATCTATTGTTTTGTTATTACACTAATATTCATCTTTTTTTTTTTTTTTTGTGCTGGTGTCCACCTCAATTGTTCAAAGTTAAGGACCCTTGACCTTGATTTGACTCCAAATCTCGAGACGTTGACACTTAGAGGTCATGGTGATTTGGTTGAACTTTACATGCCCATTAAATGTCTAATGCTAAAATCCCTTTGCCTTTATGGTTCAAAGTTGAGGACCTTTGACCTTGGAATGACCCCACATATTGAGTGGTTGGATGTTCGAACATGTTATGAATTAGTAGAACTTCACATGTACGATCAATGCCTAAAGCTTAAATACCTCAACTTCACAAGGTCAAAATTGAGGAACCTTGACCTTCAAATAGCTCCTAATATTGAGATGTTGATTCTTGTTAAATGTGATGATTTGGTAGAAATTCGCATTCTCGATAGATGTTCAAATCTCAGATCCCTACTTCACACTAATTCAAAGTTGAGGACATTTGACATTCAACTGACTCCGAATCTCGAGTTATTAGATCTTAAATATTGGAGTAAATTACACGAATGGTCCCTATGGTTTAGGGTAATTTGCACATTTGGTCCCTAACTTATTTTTTTAACTCGAAAGGTCCCTAATATTTGTTTTTCTTACGCGCTTGGTCCCTACTTTTTGTTTTTGTTTCACACTTGGTCTCTATCTTACCTAAAAAGACTATTATTTAAATAGGGAAAAATGGTATGGTAGGTAAGATAATGTGAGGGGGTTGGGGTTGGGGGTGTGTTTATTTAAATAAGTTAAAAATTCAAGGGCAAAATAGTATTTTTAGGTGATATAGGGACCAAACGTGTAACAAAAACAAACAATAGGGACCTTCCGAGTTAAAAAATAAGTTAGGGACCAAACACGTAAATTACCCTAAACCATAGGAACAATTCGTGTAATTTACTCTAAATATTGTCATGATTTGGAAGAACTTTACATGGCGGATGAATGTCAAAAGCTTGCATACCTTGACATTAGTCATTCAGAGTTGAGGAACATTGACCTTGGGCTGACACTAAATCAAGAAGTTGTATCTTAACTAATGTTTTAATTTGGTAGAACTACACGCTCCCATTGGATATCTGAAAAAGCTTGTCTACTTGGACAGTTAGACTTGAGTGGTTGTTTGAGGTTTACATCTTTTCAGTTTGACATAAGCGGCGACACTTCTAGTTGTGTGGATTAATCACTTAAACTTGGGCCTTTTAGCTGAGTTACATCTGATTGCGGAATGCATAGAGAGATGCCCATTTCACCCATACAATAATTTGCCAATGTTCCGGTTTACATGTTATTATAAAGAAGATCTACCCTCATTGAATAGAAATCTTGAGAAACTTATTTCTTTTGGTCTCTATGCTTGTACAAACCTTAATACATTTTCATTATAAATTTTTGGGTTATAATGTTTACGAAAAGCTTAAACTCAAAGGAAGTATTCTAGAGGCGCTCAAGGGCCTTGACCAGTTGGAATGTCTCGAGGAGCTAAGTTTGTCGTGTACATAGATTAAGCATCTTCCGAATAGCATTTGTATGTTGAAACATATGAGAGAACTTGAACTTATATCTTGTCAGTGTCTTGAGAAGTTACCTGAGGATCTTGGCCGATTAGAATCTTTAGAGAAACTAACCTTGTCATCTAGGAAGATTTAGCACATGTATGTTGAAGCATTTGAAATCTCTCAATCTTAAATCTTGTCGGTGTCTTGAAAAGTTACCCGAGGATTTTGGCCGATTAGTTAGTTTGGAGGACCTAACTTTGTCATCTACAAAGATTAAACATCTTCCACGTAACATTTGTATGTTGAAACATCTTGAATCCCTCGAAATTACATCTTGTCAGAGTCTTAAGAAATTACCAGAGGATCTTGGCCGATTAGAATGCTTAGAAAAGCTAAATCTCATGGAGTGTAACTTTTTACGAGATATCCCAAACAACATTTGTATGATGAAATGTCTAAAACATCTCCATCTTAGCTATTGTATTTGAGTTGAGAAATTGCCCGAGGAACTTGAAAGTTTAAAATGTTTAAAAGAATTGGATATAAATGGAACGTGCATACATCATCTTCCCCATAACATTACTTTGTTGAAAGGTCTATGGCTTCTTCAGTCGTACAGATTTACATCCAAGATAGAAACCTCGCAACACGAGCTACGAGGATGATTTTTAGAAGCTCCAAAGGCCTGGAATCATAAAAAACTGTTGTAATATGTACTTCCTCCATGTTTAATTGATCATATTACATTTTGTGGTTGTCTTATGATATGTACCATATAATATGTTCATGCCCATTTTAAGTATTTTTAAGTGTCTTTTCTTTTTATTAATCAATCATGTTGGTTGTAAGTTATTGATGTTTTAACGTTGAACATCATGTGAAGTTGTTTTTCAAGGTGGTTGTTGGCAACATTGTCCTAAGGCCTATGATATGCATTTCTAAGTGGTAAGGAGGTTTGCCCATCACCTTTCCATGAGGAACCATTACCAATCACATAATTTAAAAAAAGTTTTTATCGATTAATATATATATATATATATATATATATATATATATATATATATATTTGTAATATTGATTAGAACTTTTGTCTTGGAGATTAAGAAAGGAGGGTTAAGGTGTTAAAGTTGATGCAACTATTTACATGCAAGTATGCCACCATGGGTAAGCTTATGTCATGGGCCCATGAGCCTGACCCAGAAGGATTAGCTTAACAATACTATAAATGAATCTTATTGATTGTAACATAAAATATGACAAAGCATGCCATTGTAAATGCAATAAATATATAGAAAGTGTATAGAATTGATTATCTATAAGCGATCTCAACGGTTTAGTCTAGCCTTGATCATGTTAAATCCTTATGTTTTTTTTGTTAATATTCATCATTTCCATTATTGTTTTTGTGTGTTTGCTTAAGTACTAAGTCCCTTAATTTCCTAACATGCAAATTAATGGAAGCCTCATGTATATCACTATCACCGACCCCTTCTTAATACATATGGTATGTTTATCAACCAAGTTAATGGGAAACCCTTCACAACAAATTCAAGTAGCAAAAATGATATTGTGATACTTAAAGGGGTTTATTTCATTTGATTTATTCTATAAGAGAGGGGAGTATTGGTGATTTTAGTGTTACTAGAAATTTTGTGTAATTGAAACTAATATATGAGCTAAGGGGTTTATAATATGGACTTTATATTATATGTTTGGTGTCTGCGGAGTGCACACATATATAAGATCGAATTATAAGCCTGCACGACAAAATGATGGGAGTCAAGGGGGTCGTGCCCCCTTGTAGGGTCCTAGGGGAAGTACCCATAGCAGGGTTCAAGGGGCAGAGCCCCTGGCGCCCCCTAGAGTGTGGGGGAGCACCCCAAAAGGTCTTCAAAAATTTAAATTAGAATCATTATCAAAAATCCAAATTCTAGTGTTGGTAAGATTGACAAATCTCGTCAGTTTTGAAACCCATTGATCATGCTATTAATACCTATTGATCATGCTATTAATTACATAATTTACATAACTAATTCAGAAGATAAAAACCCTAATATGTCAAGTATAAAAAAGACTATTCTCTTGAGCCATGTGATACCCTTCTCAACTCTCTCTTCTAAATGATCTCAAAATTCTCTAGTAATTTGGCTAGCGTTTCTGTGCCTAGATTTGCAAGTGTCCCTTTAGGATTATCATAGACTGGATTTCTTGTAACTCAGACATATGATAGAAATATCAGATCAGAAAGCGAAATTATGTAATCCATTAGGAATTTGGTTCTCCACCACAAGCCTTCTAAACCCTGAAAAGGTGAAAAGTTAATGGTATATATCGATAGTTGTTATACAGGTGACTTGGATTATAGAAAAAGCACTAATGGATATGTATTCTTATTGAATGTAGTAGCATTGTCTTCAGTAACACGAAGTAATCGGTAGGGAGTTTGTCCGCAACTGTAGCAGAATTCACTGTAGCTATGATCAAGTGGCAAACATCAAGACAAAACTTCTCAAGATGGAAACTTTCATATGGTCACTTGAAGAATTAGGAGTTTATATAGATATAAACTAAAGCTAATCGCTTTCAGTTTAGTTGATGCAATAGTCCCTTATTCCTTGTTTTTTGATTTGAAGAAATCCCTGAGTAATAGAATTAGTGGGTCTTATTGCTTAGTAAACTCTAGAATTTTATATTTTTCCTTTCAATGCTTTCTTTTTGTATCTATTGAAAAAAAGTGCATATTATTTTCCAACTATTGTGTTGATAAGCTGGGATTTAAAAACTCTAAAATGGAATGAGTTTCAGAACCACACAAATCTCACCCTAAGAATGGTTTATAACTCTAATAAAAATAATTCTAGTAATTTTGTTTGTAGCCTCTAAGTTAAGTTTAACAGTTGCTTCCCTTTGCTTTTGAAAATCATAAATGGGTGCAATTTGTGAGAGAAATTAAATTGGGTAAATAACACAAAAGACATTAAGTTTACACCAAAATTCTAATTTGACACTGTATTTTCCAATGTTTTACAATTCTAACAACTTGATCGGTCAACCCGATTACCTGCTGACATGACATGATAACGTGTCAGTTTTTGATGATGTGTCATACTGACATGACATATTGAAGTGTTAAAATTGAATTTTTTTTCCACAAAAGACACAAAGTTTTTAATTTTTTTCAATTTTGATACTAAGTTTAATTTTTTTTTTTCCAATTTCGATACTCTGCTTTTTAGTTCAAAATTGAATATTATTTTTTTCCAATTTTGTTTAATGTTGATCAGTTTTCATTTTAAACCGTATAAATATTTTTTTTATTACATTTTAAATCGTATAAATATTTTTTTTCGTTTTAAAACCACATTTTTATATAAATACAAGGTTTATGTTTAATTTACATTATTTATTTTATTTTATTTTAGTATAAATTAGTTATATCATGAGAACCAAATTAATCATAATCTTCGAATAAGATGTAAAAATTTCACGGCTTGCAAATCTGAGCTCTAGGCCTTGATCGACTACACACCTCCAAACTCATTTTAAAGTTGCGTATTTAATATAAAATACGGTTTTTTATATAATTAATAAATATTTATACATAAACTTATTATTTGAATATAAAAACCCTTGTATTTATAAAAAAAATATGGTTTTTAAATAAAAAAAATGTATTTATACGGCTTAAAATGTATTGAAAAAATATTTATACAATTTTAAATGGAAAATGGTAAACATTGAATAAAATTGAAAAAAAAATGAAGTTCGATTTGGAACAAAAAAACATAATGTCAAAATTGAAAGAAAAAATTTAACTTAGTGTCAAAAAAAAAATAAATGAAAACTTAGTGTATTTTGTAGGAAAAAAAATCAATTTTGACACGTCAGCTACCACATCATCAACACCGACACCAGCAGGTAACTGGGTTGACCGGTCAAGTAGTCAGAATTGTACAAAAATGAAAAACATAACGTCAAATTTGAGACAGAAAAACACAGTGTCAATGGATAATATTAGTTATATTTTAATATATTTGTCATCATTTCAAACAGATAGGAAGATAAATAGGAAAAAAATAAAATGAGCAAAATTACTAATTATTATAGTCGGTAGTATTTGCATAGTTTAACAATAATGTATAACCAAATATCTTAAATACCACTTTATCATCATAGACACCCGGTATCTTACTGATAAAGTCTATCATCATACACACCCAAAAAGAACAGAGCCATATCTTAAAAAAAGTAAAAAACTGAAGTGACCTGCACACATCTTTATCAAAACTCAAGAACATTTTTTTTCCTAATTTTCATAACAAAATAACATCTTTTTTTTGACTCTATTTTAAGTTGCTCCAACAGGGGTACTTTTCTCTTGAGCTAAATAGAGGAGAAACCCCACCTCTATCTCAATATTTTACAGCTGTATAAACATTGTGTCACAATTTTTTTTTCTTTTGTAATTTAGAAAATGATATCATTAAAGAAACAAGCAAACGACTCTTTCAATCATCTTCATTTTCTCACTGTAATTAAATTAATATCTTGTTGTGGAAATACAAAAAATTTGCAAAAACAAGCCACTATAAATTAATGGAGTACGGATATAAATACAATAACAATAATTAAATACATGACTTATTCTTGCAAAAAGTAGTGTTACTTTTTTCTCATTTTCAAGTAATATAGGTCGAAAAGTTATTGTAGAAAATACGAAGCTTTTTGTCATATGTAAATATCATTGGGCCAAATTGCCAAAAAATACATATACTTTCTAGAATCAATGAACTTGAACAAAATACTAACATATAAAACAAAAAGAATCTTAATTGCATTTTTTTTAACTAAACAATCGATCTTATCTAGCTCTTCGTAAGCAAGGGGACTTTTTTTCTCCGCCTAATTCCAAAGTTTTTCCTAACAAACAAACACATCACCTTCACATTACATTGCCATGCTACAACCATCCTCCTTTTAATGCATAATGGTGCCGGTTGTTGAATTCATTTCCATACAAGTTACTTTGCAATTGTTTCTTATAAAAAAATTCCAACAAAGATTTTATTTTATAAATTCTTCAATTATACCATCAATGGCATCTACTTCAACCTCATCCGTTCACAAAAGCTTTAAGTATGATCTGTTTTTGAGTTTTAGAGGCCAAGACACCCGTAAGAACTTCGTTGATCATCTTTATTATGCTCTTAAACAAAAAGGCATATACACTTACAAAGATGGAGCGAGAATTAAGAAAGGGGTAAAGATTAGTGATGAGCTCATCGGATCCATTGAAGACTCAAAATTCTATATCATTGTTTTCTCCAAGAACTATGCATCTTCCTCTTGGTGTTTGGATGAGCTTGTGAAGATAATGGAGTGTCATCAGATGACTGAGCATACTGCTTACCCCATCTTTTATGATGTGGAACCCTCGGAAGTCCGCAAACAAAGTGGGGCAGTTGGAGAGGCCTTTGCCAAACATGAAAATGCTGAGGCTGCTGGGAAATGGAGAGTGGCTTTGAAAGAAGCTGCCGATTTGGCTGGGTGGGAATTAAAGCAAACTGCTGATGGGTAATTCCTTCCCATATATCTGTAATATTCTTTCATTTTGTTTCCTTCTAAACTATGTTTAAAATGAGTTATCTTTGGCAGCTCATGTTGTAATATGAAATTCTAACACAAACTCAGTCATATCAAAAAATTAAACACGAAATCTGATTATATGACTAAGTTATTATTTCTTGTATGTATATTATAGTCCTGAAAATAATTGATCATGTGGATCTTTGGTAAGCTAACTGAATCTTTAAAATACAGGCATGAAGCTAAATTTATCCAAAAAATTGTTGAGAAGGTTTCACTAGAGTTACGTTCCATCAATTTTGGCATTAATGAAAAACTAGTAGGTATGGAGTCCCGTATCAAGGAAGTTATATCATCTTTAGGAACTGGCTTTGATGATGCCCGCATGATTGGGATCAAGGGAATGGGAGGCGGTGGGAAGACAACTTTGGCTATGGCTGTTTTTGATCAAATATCCCTTTGGTTTGAAGGTAAAAGCTTTGTTGAGAATGTTAGGGAAGTTTCAAAGGCTTCATTGTCCGGTTTGATGTCATTGCAAAATCAGATCCTTTCAGATGTCTTAAATGATCAAGCTATCAGAGTAAGTAGTGTTTATGATGGGAAAAACATGTTGAAGAGGATGTTTCCTTGTAAAAAGGTTCTTGTTGTTCTAGATGATGTGGATCATAGGGACCAGCTTGAGGTGTTAGCAGGTGATCCTAATTGGTTTAAGCCAGGAAGTACAATTATTATTACAACAAGAGATGAACAATTGCTGGTAGCACATGGGGTGAAGTTGATTCATAATGTCAGTTTGTTATTGGATAAGGAAGCAATTTGCCTCTTTAGTAGGTATGCTTTTGGGAGAGAGATTCCAATTCAAAGGTATGAAGAGCTAGCACAAAAAGTGGTATCATATGCTGTTGGTCTTCCCTTAACGATCACAGTTTTGGGTTCTTCGCTCTGTGGTCAAACTGAGCTTCAATGGATAGATGTCCTAAAAAGACTAAAAACAATTCCATTAGAAGAAACTTTGAAAAAATTGGAATTAAGCTATATATGTCTAGAGGAGGATCACAAGGAAATGTTCCTAGACGTTGCGTGTATACTGAAAGGTCGGCATATAGACTATGCAATCACAGCGCTTGAAAGCTGTGGGTTCCATGCTAGATATGGTTTAAGAGTTCTTGAGCAAAAATCTCTCATAACTATTTCCCATGATAAGTTCTTAGGCATGCATGACCATATTGAAGAAATGGGTAGGAATATTGTTCGCCGTTCACATCCTGGTGAGCCTAGAAAACATAGCAGATTGTGGATTGAACACGAAATTGAAGATATATTGGCTAATAACTTGGTAAGATTCAAGTTTATTAATTATAGTTAAAGTAAACAAACATATTTCATTTGTTATGACACAAGTTTCATGGTTTGGATTATAGGGCACTAACGCAACAAGATGTTTACAATTCAACCAACTAAAGTTCAATCCAGAAATTGTTATGAAAGGTCTTAGAAAGATGAAGGAACTTAGATTTCTTGACGTAACTTTGGGACATGAATTTATTTGCTCAAGTAAAACGGATTCTTTTGGTTTCAATTCAGAATCAAAGAGAGTTAACCCATATTTTCCAAATGCTTTACAATATCTGCACTGTCGCAATTACCCTTTTAGGTCTTTACCCAAAACATTTGAAGCAAATAATCTTGTTACACTTATAATGATTCATAGCGATTCGGTACAACTTTGGAAAGGGAGTGAAACAAAGGTAGACTGATGGTTAGTTGATTGTTTTGCATGATTCATTATAATTATATACATCTATTGTTTTGTTATTATACCAATATTAATCTTGATTTTTTTTTCTTTTGTTAGGTTAAGAAGCTAAAATTCCTTTACCTCAGCCATTCAAAGTTGCAAACCCTTGACCTTGGGATTACTCCAAATCTCGAGGAGTTGACTCTTAATGGATGTGGTCATTTGATTGAACTTCACATGCCCATTGAATGTCTAAAACTTATATCTTTAAATATTTATGATTCAAAGTTGAGAACCCTTGACCTTCGGATGGCTCCAAATCTTGAGAAGTTGGTACTTGATGAATGTGACAATTTGGTACAACTTCTTATGCCCAAAAGATGTCTAAGTCTAACATCCCTCACACTCACTAATTTAAAATTGAGGACCCTTGACATTGGGACGACTCCAAATCTTGAGTTTTTGGAGCTTAGAAGTTGTTATGATTTGGAAGAACTTCATATGGCTGATGAATGTCGAAAGCTTGCATCCCTTGACATTAGTTACTCAAAATTAAGGGCCCTTGACCTTGGGTGTGCTTTGAACCTCAAGAAGTTGGCTCTTGTTGAATGTGATGATTTGGGAGAACTTCAGTTCACCGGTAGATGTCTAAATCTGACATCCCTCAAGCTCATTAATTTAAAGTTAAGGACTCTTGACCTTAGGCTTACTCCGAATCTTGAGGATATAGTTCTTGAAAATGTATACAATTTGGAAGAATTTCACATGGCTGATGAAGGTCAAAAGCTCTCATCCTTCAACATTAGTCATTCAAAGGTGAGAACCCTTGACCTTGGTCGGGTTTTAAATCTTGAGAAGTTGATAGTATTTAAATGTGGAAATTTGGTAGAACTTCATATTACCAATGAATGTCAAAAGCTTGCATCTCTTGACATTAGTTATTCAAAGTTGAGGACCCTTGACCTTGGACTAGCTCCAAATCTTGTTAATTTGGCTCTTGTTGGATGTAGTGATTTTGGAGAACTTCATATGCCTATTGAATGTTCAAATCTAAGAGCTCTCTGCATTCATGATTCAAAGTTGAGGATCCTTGACCTTGGTTTGGCTCCGAATCTCGAGAAATTGGTACTTAGAGGATGCAACGATTTGGTACAACTTCACATGCATTACAAATGTCTAAATCTCACATCCCTCAAGCTCTCTAGTTTAAAGTTGAGGACCCTTGACATTGGGATGACTCCAAATCTCAAGGTTTTAGAGCTTAGCAATTGTTACGATTTAGAAGAACTTCATATACCTTATGTGTGTGAAAAGCTTGCATCCCTTGACGTTCGTCATTCAAAGTTGAGGACCCTTAACCTTGGACAAACTCTAAATCTGAAGAGTTTATGTCTTAATGGTTGTGGGCATTTTAAGGAGTTACCTGAGGATCTTGGCCGGTTAGTATGCTTAGAGAAGTTAATCCTAAGGGGTTGTAGGCTTTTACGATATATCCCAAACAACATTTGTAAGATGAAATGTCTAAAAGTTTTAGATATTTCAGGTACATACATAAGTCATCTTCCACAGAGCATTATTTTATTAAAAGAACTTCAGATTATTGGGTCGAGAGAGCTTCTTGAGTCGTTTGGTTTTACATCCAAGATACAAACCATAAACAAAGGATCAATGGAGTAAGAGTTGTTTTATGTAAAAGTGTGAATAATGGAGATACACCATGCTCTAGGGATAATTTTGAGAAGCTAATAGAGAATCTTATCATGTACTTTCTCCATGTTATAGTGATTATTTACTTTTTTTTTGAAATTTGAAATTGATGACACGAATCAAACATTCGTCCATAAATATTTAAAAATATATACACAAGTACACTACAAGGAATTAGGGCATTAAGTTTGACAAATGTCATCGCTAATGACCTGAATGTCACTGCTATTGACTTTAGCAAAGACATATTTCTATTTTTAGATAACCACTCACTACTAGAAAAACAGCCTTTTACGACGCTCATTGCACGTTGTAAAAGGCTCAGACGACGCGCAAATGCGCGTCAAGGAAGGCATTGTCATAAAGAAAGACGACGCGCATTTACGACACACATTTATGACGCGCGATTACGACGCGCGTTTACGACACTCAATGCGTATCAAGGAAGGCCCTATCATAAAGGAAGACGACACGCATTCGCGTGTCGTAACCTTACGAAGCGCGTGTTAACGACACACAATGCGTATCAAGAAAGCCCCTGTCAAGAAAGGCCATGTCATAAATGAAGATGACACACATTTTTGCGTATCGTAAATTTAAATGATTAAATTTTTTTTTATATATTTATTAATTTTTAAATTAAATTTGCATTTAATTTCTCATAATATAAATAAAATACCATATACAAAAAATACAATCCATTGCATAATATAAAATAAAATTTCATACTCAAAAAATAAAATAAATTGCACAAATTATAATGTCATACAAAGAATCATTCAAATGTTAAACAAAAATAATACATTGCTAACATGGGTTATACATTCCTGTAAAACTAACAAATAATCATACAACTATGTTTCTTACTGGAAAGGAATGCCAAACATGATTACAAGTCATCCCTTAATCTTGATTACTCACCTGCTTAAGTAGAATGCTGTTGTTGAGAAGGTTACCTAGCAACAGAGAAAAACACAACACCTCTCCCACAATCACAACATCATTTACAAAAAAAGGGTTGTCAATTACTTTCATTAAGACTTTCATTCAATCAAAAAAATATTAAATAAAAGGGTGAAAAAAATAACTTACTTTTGATATGTTGATCTCCCTTAGAGCAAACACAACTAAAGCATTGAACAAGACCCTAGGCCCTTAACGTGTGGTGTGGTTTACAATTTTTTAAAGCACCTTCCCATGTAACTCTTAATTATGAGATTATTCTCCTCCCAAAACCTTTCCTTTTGCATCTTCTTCTAATCGATGTTGCATGCACAAAATTTGTATCTAACCCGCGCCAATGGCACGAGAAACTTCTACTAGTTTTATATATAAATATATATAAGATATAGTTTCATAATATAAAAAAAGTTAGTTATGTGTACCTTACTAGAACGTAAAAAGAATACCTGCTCATTAAAAAAGTGTGTTGAAACAGATTTTAGTGAGTACGAGCTCAATTTATAATCTCTTTGCATAGCCTGCAGAAAATAAGACAATGAATCAAAACCTTATAGTTATCCCTACATAGCAACTTACTTGTTCAATAAAATTTATTAGAAGAAATGACCTGAAGTAAATCAAACTGAACTCTCCTTTCCAATGTAACTTCTTTACTTTCCCTTGTACCATACTGTCTGCAACGCAAAACCAATATTAGAAAAATTCAGCATCATGAAGACCTTTCTTTATCTTAATATAAAAAAAGTTAGTTATGTTTACAGATATAACTAAGCATATGAATCGAGAAATGAACTAACCAAATATAAATGTATCTAGGCTTCTATTTGGCATGTACTCGTAAAGAAGAATCTTTTCTTCTCCCCTGATGCAATATCCCAATAGTCTAACAAGATTTCAATGCTGAAGTTTAGCAATAAGCATAACCTCATTTTTGAACTCTTGCAAACCTTGTCCAGAGAGGCTTGACAACCTCTTCACTGCAATTTCTTTGCCTCCAGGAAGCTTACCCTATAATAAAGCACTTAAAATTGGCTGTATTGAGACCTCTTGTGAAGAAAATTAAGTGAAAATAGGCCCAAAACCACCTTGCCCAAAACCAGCTCAAAGTATGTGAAAAAGTTGATTACTTTAGTAAAGCTTACAGTTAACAGGGTACCAGGCAGGGAGTTTAAGCTTATGGGTTAGTGTGTACCTCAAGGATAAGTCAAAATAAAGTCTCAAGAAGAAGGATAAAAAGGTAAATGTTGTGAAGGGTATATTGGTCAGAATGCTTTGAAGAAGGCCTCATGGTCTGTGACTATGTCTCAGGGACATAATCAAAAGGATTTGGATTGCTTTTAGTGGTAACTGTAAAAGTAAAAGAATAAGAATAAGCTCACTTAGGTGTAGACACATATATGAAATAGAAAGAGACAGGATCAGGTTTGTACACCTAATAGGTCACCCTCACATTCTGCCCCCAGTAGTTTCATGTCCAAATAGAAGGAAAAGTTCATAAAGTTATCGTGTTTCCATTTGTGTGAAGGTATGTAGGATATTGGAATATATATATATATATATATATATATATATATATATATATATATAGAGAGAGAGAGAGAGAGAGAGAGAGAGAGACTTAACAGGTCCTGATCCTTGATAAGCATAAGAAATGAGGAAATTTTAGGGTAGAGGACCGCATCGATCTTCTCTGGTTGTTCAACTATCGAATACTTGACCGCAACAACAACCGTTGCCCTGGTGAATGCAACAAGACTAGTTGTTCGCTCCTAAAAAATTTATATTAAAAAGAATTACATTTTATTAATTAATTTAAAAAATATTAAAGGAGGTTAAAGTTATATATGTATACCTTGAGGGCAGGAACGAGTTTTGAAGGCTTGATGAGGGCAATTTTTCATAACACTTTTGGTCCCTGAATCAACTAAATTTATGAAAATGACCATTTTGCCCTTGTATACTTTATCGCTTCTGTCTTTAATGGTCACAGTGTATAATTAAACCCTACCAACAATCCATCTCTTTCCTAGAGAAACCCTAACCAGATTCAACCAAATCCTAAATAAATCAAACGAACCCAAAATCAAAGTTAAAGATCTAACACCAAAATTCAAAACCAAATCAACATGTGCCTTTGTTTCGTCAAGTCTTAAGAGGCTGCTCAATCTGAACCCAACAGCAGAACCTAAAACCAAAGCCATGCTTTTTTAATTTTTGTAACTCCAAAAATAAAATAAAAAATAGAAAACTAATCTGTTGCAGTTCCCTGGTTGAAAGCATTTCCAAGAGAAAAAGTTGTCAGCAGCACTCTCCTCAACTTTACAGAACTCCTAATCTGATATAACCACCACCAACATAATAAAAAATTAAGTAAACTTTAATCCAATCTTATAGTCACTGAATAACTGCATAATTAAAGTCACATGTAATTACAAAGAACTTGCCTGTTCTACTGATAAATATACGATGTTTAGCTTATCCCTAAGTTCTGAAACCTAAATCTGCAAAAAGAACAGTAAAGTTAAAATATGGTAAATATAAGAAAGCAGGAAATGCAAAGAATAGTATCTCCTGACATGTGTACTAAACTGCAACTTATAAGAGTAAACTATGAGTTTAGCTTCCGAACGTGGAACTTTCATCAGCTCTAAGAAGATCTATTACAGAAAAGCAAATATTAAATTTTTAAATTTTGGTCCCCAACTTCACTGACATACTAATGATATAAATCCAGAAGATGGGTATTATGTACCTGTTTGTAACGCCCGTAGATCCGGGGTCACACCCCCAAACCTGAACGGCGGAAACGTTCGGGGGCGGATGACTTCATGTGGTAACGTAACAAATGAATACATAGTAAAGAAAGCAATACAACCATCATATATATATAATTGAAAGTTTACATTTGTCAAAAGTTACATGTTCAAAACTCAATTACAATATGATGTCAAAATACGAGATTAAACTGGCGCCGCAGCATCCCTTCATCAAAAGCGAAATGCATACCTGAAATTACTGATTTCCTGGGACATACAAGTAATTTTGAAAGAGTAGATCAGCATTTAAGCTGGTGAATTTCATAAGTATTTAAATGACAATGTTTGAATGAAATGAAATGTTTTATCTTTGTTTGTATGTGTTTAGAAAATCCTATATTTTCCACTAGCATAAAAGTAGCCTTTATTCAAGACCAATGTTTGTTTCCAAAATGTGTGTAAATGTAAAATAATCAATGAGTTTGATAACCTTGTAAATCAATGCGTTTTTGATACCCCTTGTGAGTTTTATAACCATACTATTGACTCGAAATGCCTTTACACAACGTTCTTCAGGCGTTGGAATGTTATGACGTTTGTCACCCCAAACGGTGGACTGCAGCTAACAGTCAGGGCGCGGGTTGTCAAGCCCGTATAGATCTATACACAAACACCATGCTCCCCCTCCAAGGGATTCTGGTATATAATACAGGACTTGAAATGTGTACTCGAACGTACATGAAGTTAGTGTCTCACAAATCCGTGGTATAAAAACAGATCTACTTGTTAAAATGTTACGTTTGTTCTTGTATACGAAAGTAAACTTCTTGAAATATATGTTTCTAGTACATAAGAGTTAGAAATCTGTTCGTAAAACTATACCTATTATAGTTTTAAAAAGTGTGCTTTGTTTGTTTAGAAATACTTAGGAAAAGAATAATTTAAGAACAGTTTAGTTTTATACATGTATTACAACAACTTTATATTTTAAAAGATCGAATGCTATTGTAACATATGTTATATATTTATATATAAAAGTTCCTTTAAAGGTTTATAAATCGAATGTGATTTGAATATTTAACAGTATATAAAAGAGTTTCTTTATGTAACACACGATAATACTCGTGTGTTTTACTTGTAATCCCCCCCTTGAAAGCATATAAAAGTATTTAGAATAATTAAAACGGTTGATTAAGGGGTATGAAACTCACTTGAAAGTTTTGGAGATAGCGAGATGGAAAACCGGGCAGAGTTTCGTCTCGGGAAACGGATTTTCCTCGGGATTCTCGGGAATCTCGGGGGTAAAATCGACCTTCGGGACTTGAGCCACGAAGACCAGAGCTTCGGGTTTGAACGGACACGGAAAACGAGGCAAAGTTGTGTGAGAGAGAAGAGAAATGAGCCCTTTCCTTGCAAACCCTCGTATCTTATTTATAGGGAGGCTGGTCTGCCTCGGTACGCGGGGCGTACGCTCGTACGCAGCGCGTACGCGTACGTCATGCGTGACCGAGGCCTCGACTACCTCGGCTTCGGATGGGACGGGTCGCTGGGTACGCGGGTCGGATGGGACGGCGAGTCGGATGGTGCGACGTGGACGATCAGAGGCCGCTTCTCTCGGTTACGCGGGGCGTACAGGAGTACGCGGCGCGTACCTCGGATGAGGGCGCTGACTCCTCTTCGGATAATATCCGAATTTTGATTAAAATAAATAATTAATTTATTTAATAACTTCAAAAATTCATATCTTCTTCATACGAACTCCGTTTTCGATGGTCTTTATATCCTCGCGTAGGTGAGACTACGCTCTACAACTTTCGTTTAGACTCCGTCGGCAAATTCCAAAATTATTTTTATTATTGTTTTTATTATTTAATAACAATCCATCGTGTTTAAGGAATTTCTTTGAAAGTTCATAACTTCGCTATATGAAGTCGGATTTGGGCGATCTTTTTACGTACGATCATGGTTCAAAGACGTTAAATCATAGAAAGAAATTAAGTAGAACTTATTTATACATTTTATTACGCATAAGTAGTTACAATACTTGACCCATTTTGGTCGTTACAAAGAGTTGAAATATCGGGTTGTCACACCGGGGTAGTAAAATTAGAGACGATAAGCATCAAAAATGAATTTTTGATGGAAGATTATTTAGAAGGATTAATCTTAACCAATTTGTATTATATGTCACAAGGTTTCCGTTCATATAAAGAACGCCAAAATCCGAGTTATAACGAAGAAGTTATGACCTGTCGAAGTTTGGCGACAGAACCGGCATGACCCAGCGCGACCCAACGCGACGTAAATAGTGAATTTAAGGTAGATAGATATCTATCCTTAGTGATCTAAACGAGAGTCAAAGATGTCATCGATAGTAGTCCAACGATAAAAAGACAGACGAAAATGGAGTTCAGATGAAGGAGTTATGAATTTCGAACGGAGTTTTCCTGTCCCGTCCTACTAAAGATAATATATAAGTAATATACTTATAATATATTAAAAATAAAGTCAAAATTATCCAATGGAGTCTAAAAAATAGTTGTAGATCATAATCTCACCTTCGCGTCGATATAAAGAACATCGAAAATGGAGTTCGTATGCGAAAGTTATGAATTTCTGAAGTTCGGGGCGCGAACCCCAAAGTTGTGTCGGAGACCACGACGTGGCAAGCAGTGACACGATGTGGCAAACCTTCTGACACCTTCGGGAGTCCCCCAGATGCAACTTGAGATGACGCATGCAGTGACGACCAAGCCCACGACGTGGCAAAAGGTTCCATGACGTGGAAAGGGCTAGTTTTTCCCTATAAATAGATTTGAAGGGCCAGCCGAGTTTGGTTGCTCATTCTCTCATCTCTCACCCATATTACCTCGATTTACGTGCAAAGAAGTACCCCTGAATCCCCTGTATCATCCCGAGACCCGAAGCGAGTCCCGAAGCCCGAAGATCCCAAGAAGAAAAGAGTTTCCGAGCCGAAGCTCTGCCCGCGAGAAACCCGGTGTGTGAAGTGATCCCGGTTTCACCGAAGAATACCACTTCTACAAGCCGTAGTGCTATCCGATCAACTTCTGATCAAGTGAGTGTATAGTCACTTTCATCTTACACATAGATATGAAGTATTTCATAAAATACGTGCTATGTGTGTGTGTGTATATATATATATATATATATATATATATATATATATTGTTGTTTATATGTGTGAGTGTGTGGTCACTTTCTTCTAACACATAAATATTAAGTATTTGCTATGAAATACGTGCTATGTGTATAATATAAAGTTGTTTATATGCGTGGGTGTATAGTCCCTTTCATAAACATGATATCAATACAAGTATTGTTTGTATGTATTAAGTATATGTTTTAGGTGAGTGTGTAGTCACTCTGTTCTAACACATAAATATTAAGTATTTGCTATGAAATACGTGCTATGTGTTTATACATTGTTTGCTTATTTGAGATGAGTGTGGAATGGATGTTTTATATAGTTTTTAAATGAGTTAAACTGTATATGTATTTTATATCTACAAATATGTTGGGTAGAACATGGGTAGATGAGATAGTTGGTATGTGATAAAATGATGAGGTATGAAAGATGATTAAGAATGATATTAGCAGATGCGCTTAAGAATAATATCGATAGATGCACCGAGTAGTGAATGTCGTAATCTTGGCAGATGCGCTTATAGGATAATGTCGGCAGATGCGCCAAATAGAGATGTCATAATACTAGCAGATGCGCTTAAGAATAATATTGGTAGATGCACCAAACAGAGATGTCATAATACTAGCATATGCGCTTAAGAATAATATTGGTAGATGCACCAAATAGAGAATGTCATAATACTAGTAGATGCGCTTATAGGATAATCTTGGCAGATGCGCTTATAGGATAAGGTCGGCAGATGCGCCTAATAGTGAATGTCGTAATCCTGACAGAGGCGCTTAAATGATAAAGTTGGTAGATGCGCCTTAAATAACAGTGGAATGACTGTCTATTCCTTAAAATCAAATTTTAGGAATGAATGAATAAAGGATAGGTGATTCTTAGGGTAAAACCTTAAGAAATAAAGAAGATAACAGGGATGGGTAATTGGGTTGATTGTTTGATGATTAAATATAGTAATTATATTATTGTGGGCTGAAAACCCTATATGTTCACCAGGCTCCCAAGCCTGGCCCACTCAGTTTAATTGTATCACAGGTTTCGATACGAAGCTGCTTTGCACTAAAAGATTAAAGGAGATGTAAATCACTAGAGTAAATGAATGTATGTTCTGTTTATGCTTATGTGTCTGTATCGGATCATGACATCCTGAGGTTTTATTATTTAATGAAAATACATTCTCTTTGAGAAATGTTTTGATAAGTTTTTATCATATCTTGTTTTGGGAACAAATTCCACAACCATTTTCTTTAAACAATTACTCTGATTTATAAAACAAAGCATAAACAAATCGATCTTTTCTGGCCGATAAATTGGGGATGTTACACTGTTCACAATTGCCCAAATTATCGGGTTCTCCTTCGTAGCCCTAAGAATATATATAAAACGTAAGTTATAGTATAAATAAAAGATGTGGGTATGTAATGTAATGTAGAAATGTAGAATGTAAATACACCTTAATTATTTCGTGTTTCCTTCTGCAGTAGCACCACTTCCATTTAGCAACATGTATGTCTCTTGTTTATCCTCCTTCTTGAACTTGGAAATAACATAAGTCCCATCAGAAGTTCTCCGCAGCATGAGTCAGAGTAAGAATCTTCATATATCAATGCAAGTGAATCATCACGCCAGCTTATTCCTTTGCTGATATTGAAAAAAAAATATGACTTTATGCTGAGGGAAAATAAAAAAGAAAAACTTACTCATAGCGAAGATCAAGCATGTGAAAGATGTTTGGGTCTTCTTCACCTCCAGCAGCCTGTGTGTAAACTATGTCACGAGGAGAAACTTCTCCTTTGACATCACCTCCATCTTGTGTCTCCATCAGTAGCGTACCACAAATAAATCTATTTAGGAAATCTTCCACATGGGACAGTTAAAGAGAAGGGTCTATGAAACAAAGTAAGTAAATCAATCCCTTGTGCAGCTTTGATTTCTTTATGATGAATGTAAGCTCACTGAATCAAACAACAAAAAAAAACTCATAAAGACTCAACAAAACTAATGAATTTGAAAAACAATTGTGAAATTTAAAATGCCCAAAAAGGTTCAAACATATCCTCACCTTTACTCGGAGTTCCTTCATTAGGTGAGAAGTCAACAATGATCGGATTGTTGTATGAATTGAACCCTGCACATGCACATGCATTATATTTTCAACAAGAAAATAGCATCATTCGTTCATATATTTATTAATTATAGCATACAAACAAAAAGTAACTCGAATGTAGCAACAAAGTGTTTGTTGTTACCTGAAAGCCATAAACAACAATCTCATCTCCTTCATGAAGCACACCATTAACCAAAACCACATCAATGATTGTTCCAAGGTCTTCTATCACTTTAACCTCCAATACCGTACACTACAAAGATTTTTCAATCCAAGAATCAGTAATCAGAACTCTCATAGATGGAATAAAGGTGGAATTGGAAAAAGGATATATACATATATATATACACACACACACACATACACACACACATACACCTGAATATCACTGTTGTATGTAAGTTTTTCAATCATTGTCTTCTGAGCCCATTGGACAAGTAGTAACAACATCTCAGGTATGCCTTCACCACTGTTTTGCCTCAAAAAGCAAAGATTTTGTTCAAAGTTCAAAAACCAGTATTCAAATGGTGTGTGAACAATAGATCTCATAAAAAACTACCTGATAGCACTTGTGGGTACAATACTATAAGTTTCCCCTCTATCTTTATTCTTGTTGTACAATTCGGTATTCGATCCTTGCTCCTTGAATTATGTAATTATCTGAAGTCACAAAGCACAAATCATGAGAAAGCCAACAAGAAAAGAAAATAGATGTCCGGTGTTGGCATCGATTATGTGAATTGCAGCACCCTGTTGGCCCTTATGTCACAACATGTCAACTTTTCCATCCTTACCCATCTTATTACCTCCATCTTTACATAGCCAAAAGATGAAAGAAATTATTGTCTACACTCACTTGAGCATTTCATCAAACACCTCACGTGCACTTGATCATTTCACCTTAAATTAAAATTAAAACTGATAGAAATCCCACCAACAACTAGATAACACAATCAGGTAAGTAAAGAGATGAATTTAGAAAAAATCATTCCTTGGAATGATGAAGACGAATGTGATGATGAGAATTCGTGGAAAGTAAATGAATAGATGTTGATATTGGAGTTTAAAAGAGAGTTGTACCTTGGAATGTTGAGCATAGATGAAAACAAATTGATATAGGAAGACGATAACATTTATTTGAAGGAGTCGATAATTCTTCCAGCCTTGATCACATGTCAATCGGAGTTGAGGGCTTTAAGAACTGGAACCGGACCATATTTCATCTGACATTTGTGTGCATAATACTCAAAATTCAGAAACCCTAGATGTATAAACCACACTTTGTGAACCCCATAGAATCGAACCTATTAGTTGTTGTGGAGGAAAAGGGGAGGGGGGGGGAGAACGAACTAGGGTTAGAATCGAACCTATCAATTGTTGGTACCGATTTTAGGGTTTCACATAGAACAAGAAAGAGGTGGTGATGGAGAAGATGGTAGGGAGGCGATGGATGGTAGGAATGGTGGTGATGGTCGATTGTGTTGAGGTTACAGGTGGTGAGATGTAGCTGCGACAACCATGGTGGTGGTATGGAGGTGAACTGTAGAGAGAGAGAGAGAGAGAGAGAGAGAGAGAGAGAGAGAAAGGGAGATGGTGGTGAGTCTGATGAGGTGAGCATTCTCGTGGAAGGAGGAGACGCAAGCGGGGTTTTAATTTTTTGGATTTCATTCCCCCCCCCCCCCCCCCCAAAAAAAATGAAAACACGCGCTAATAGACTAAAATTATAAAGCGACAGGGTAACACGACGCGCTTTTTAGGATAGGTGCCCTCCGTGTTTTTAGTTTTTTTTGTTCGACACTAATTTTAGGGCGCTCAAAAATGCGTGCCCTCTATCCTTCGAATTTTCCAGAGCTGACATTATTTTTTAGGGCACGCACAAATGCGCGTCCTCTATTGGCGCGCGTCATTGTTTGCGCGTCATTAAAGGGCAGTTTTCTAGTAGTGACTATTGCAACATCACAATATCTCGTTTTTTTGTTGCTGATAAATATTATTGCCTCTAGTGCATTTTTGGTCGATATTACCATCTCTACTAAAGAATGTCACGACTAATTTCTTAGTCGTTGCTATCTCTATTGGTGTCATTCTTCATGTCACAACTGCTAGTGATGTTACCGTTAATTCTTTAAAACACTTGGTACAAATTTCACAATATATAAAGTTATTTGTTACACAAACTTAAAACATACACCAAACATAAAACTAGTCCTACTCATCATGTCCACCCCCTCGTTCCCCTCATTATCACCATCATTATCATCTTGTTTTGATGAAGATTGAACATGTTTGCAAGTTTCAAGTTATATGTCAGGTTACTAAGAATAACATCATAGGGACCTCTTACTATAATAAGTATGTACATTAATATAAACCAAGCTACAAAAATAACAATTATCAAAACATCAACATAAACCAAACTACAAATTACCAACATACCAAACTACCAAAGTATCAATATAAACTAAAGGATGTTTTATATCAGAATCAATAGACACACAAGGAAACTGTCAAATAATACTAAGAATTATATGTTCATTAGTTGCGAATAATAAAACCAATTATTATTAATATGATTACCAAGTTTCGTCCAAAAACCAGATCAATCCTTATCAATTAGATCTGATTATAAGAAAGGTAGAATAAGAGTGTCCTGTTATTGGACGAAAGTAAACGCAAGGCAAAAAGGTAAAACTGACCTGTTGATGACTGATCTTGATCTTAGAGATCTTCACGGATCGGACTCTTGTCCTTAAAGGTTTTTACTTTGCTTCTATTGGTTGTAAGCAACAGAGTGAAACCCCAGGATTTAACGCAGACTTATCGGTTTTCCTATATCACTAGAAAACAATAAACGTAAAGTAACTACTCAGAAAGTTGGAAGAAATCAACAAGAAAGGGAGAGAGCTTCGAAATTTGTGCATTGAATACGACTCATGGGGAGTTGTATTTATAAGTATCAAACCCTAGAAGGCAATAAAGATCCCGAATCGGTTGGATCCTAGAAACCCTAGGGCAATACCTTGCTCTCCAAGAAAGCCGTTTTCTTGGCCTTCCAGAAGATTTCATCACCTGATCCACGAAGTCAACATTGGTTAACCGTTTAACCGGATCGGTCAAATCGACGTGACTTGAACTTTACCAAAAATAAAAGCTCCCCAGCTCCCAACTACCGATGCTGTGTGTGAAGTGCCAATCATGCTTAAATTGCGTCATTTCAGGCACTCGCGATGTTGTCTAGTGCTAGGCTAGACTAGGCACACGTGTGTAGTCTTGGCTAGGGGTGCAGAAGAGCCGAGCCGAGCCGAGCTCGAGCTTGGTCAGGCTCGGCTCGGGCTCGTTTAAGTTATATGAGGCTCGAGCTCGGCTCGATTCAAGCTTTTTTGTATAAAGCTCACCTTGAGCTCGTAAATAATTATACAAGCTTGGCTCGGGCTTGGGCTCGACTCATTTATTGTTCGATGTGCCTAAATAAGCTTTAGCTCGGCTCGAGCTCGTTAAGAAGCTTGTTTATTAATACCCTAAATTCTTAATTCCCTAAATATGTTTTTATTTTAACATACAAAAATAATAATAAATTATATTATATAAAAGCTCGTTTAGGCTCGCGAGCCTAATTGAGCTTAGTGATATAGGCTCGAGCTCGACCTCATTTAATAAACGAGCTTAATATTAAGCTCGAGCTCGATTAAAATCGGTTTCGAGTCGAGCTTTTAATGAGATGATCTTGAGTAGTTCACGAGTAGCTTGGCTCGTTTGCACCCATAGTCTTGGCCTATCCCTTGATCCACTAAAATCCTTTGAAGGCCTATCAAGAGAAAAACATTATAAACCCACCAAATATTTATTACCCTACCAATGTGAGATAGAGGAAACTTGCCAACTTGCAATATTTCCTCTACAATTTCCAAAAATCCCCCACCAAGTTGGAAAGTTTCCATTCACTCAGACATATGATGTCACTTAGGTGTCATGAAGATTAAACCCTAGTTTAATGAGAAAAAATAAGAAAAGATCAATTCAATGGTATCCTTATAGGTTTAAACCATGAAACTTATGACCTGTCGGATTTACACCCACACATCACATGCCATCTTTGCGTTATCTATAAATGCTAATATGGCCATGTGCTATAAATCTTTTTCATGACCCCTTTAGAAGATAAAGACTAATCTTCACTTGAGGCAAAATTAGCTCTAGATAATACAGGCAATGTTTTACAACATCTTCATTGCTTAGATATCTCCAAAAAAAATTTGTTAAGAGTTGTAACTCAACCTCGTTCTCAACAACGACGTACTATCCTACCTCACATGGACCTATCATTAATGTTAGTACCTTTTATCATTAGTGTTGTGACAAAGAACATGGTTTGGCGTGTGGAATTAAAGATTGCACAATTGAACATGGTGATTTGGGTGCTAAAAGATATATTCGATCATAGTAAATGAGTACAAAAAGGGATCTAGTCTAGAACTTCATAAATATTTCACTCACTAATCACTATGACTACATCTCTCAAGCACACCTCTACAAGTGGTATGAACCCACCATATATAGAGGTGTTTACATGTCTCTCTCTCACTTTCTATCTCTCATGAGTCAAAAGGCTAATACTCCACTTGCAAGTGGGTTTAGAAAAGTCAAATATTTACAAAGTCAATCATGAATAACTTTGTACCCCAACATTCTCCCCCTCAAAGTTAGAAATGAATGACCCACTTCAATTATTCCAAAGTCGAGCAACTATGCAGTTCGAACCTCAAAGGTGACACTGTTGGAATAGTGTCTTAGGCTGCAACTATATTAAGCAAGTATTTGACCCAATTGAGCATGGTCCTTTTGGGTTGCCTTCACCGTAGCAACTTGATAGGGGCCTGAAATTCACTTTCTTCAATTTTCAACAAAAACAGTCCTTTTTCGAATTTGGGTGCAAACTGCCAAAATTTCAAAACAGAAGGGACCATTTTCGACAATTTTGCCCTTTGGTCTCAATTCATACGAAGAATCCCCAAAATATACGAAGCTCCAAATTTTTTTGGAATTTGGGTGAAAAGTGTCAAACATTCGAAACTTGGGTTAATTTCCAAAGCGTCAAATTTTCGAAGGTTTAGGGGTCAAATTCAAAACTTTTACTTTTGTCCAAAATCATACGAAGCTTTTTCACAAATTATACGAAGGCTTTAACAATGATACGAAGGGTTCTTATCTTTTGACAAAAATTCGAAACTAAAAGGACCAGATTCGAAAATTTTATTTTTCCTTCATTCTTCGTTCATTCTAAATCACTGCAACCCCAAACACCCCTTTTGTATATATTTCAAAATACCATTTGAATATCAATCCCAACAAATCCTTCATTTAATTCCCAAATACCCTTGTGTATCATCTACAACACAGAGACCATTCGTAGTTTCGTACAATCTAAATCACAATAAAACTTCATATTAATTCTCAATACACCCCCTTCAAATCTAAATCATAAACACCCTTTTTGTTTAAATCCAAAATACCGTCATATTCAATCTTCTCGACTCGAACATCTCAACACCAGTTGAACTCCGGTCCACTCTAATCGACACTAATTGACTTTAGATTTCGAATTCATCTTCCAAATCATACCAGTCGATTATGAAATTCACAAAAGAGAATTATCATCAAACCTTCACATATCGACCCAGACTAACCATCCAGTTCCCTGTCTTCGCCTTTTATTCTCATCAACAATCGATTTATGAAAGTCAACTATTCTCAAAAGCTTCGAAATCAAAAACTTTCGTTTTGAAAACTATTAACCATCAATCATTTACAGATC